CATATTACTTCTTTATATACCAAGTACCTTAATTAACTCATCATTCCCCCACCTGTTTCCTTGTTCCAATCTATCACATAAACTATTGCAAGACTATGCTACTAAAAAAAAAAATCAGTGGCTCCAACCAAAGAGCACTCAAGTGCCTGCCCCTCTATTTAAAGCCTTCTACAAAGTGCCCAGTGATATTTTTCATAGCCTCATTTTTTATTGATCAATCCTGTGCTTCAGCCAACCCAGACATATAGATTGGTCCCTGTTATAATCTGTATTTTCCCAACTCTGTCCGCTTGATCACTGGTGTTCTCTCTGCCTATTAAAATTTCACCCTTCAAAGCTATTTGGGGGCTCTGTTTTTTCATTAATTCTTACCTTTTCCTCTCAACTAGATAGTATTTCTTCAATTCTTCTTGCACAATCCTGTATTTCTTATGAGGTCTATTTGCTTTAGAATCTTGTGTATCTTTTTTTATCCCTATTGGAACTAGGATAGTATCTTTAAAATCTCAATGTCTCAGGCAATAATAGCAACTCATTCCATGAATCTACAAATAGGCACCTAGGAAAAGCCAATTCCTGAGAGCCATTGGCAGAAATAAGCAGAAGTGTAAAAAAAAAAAAAAAGAAAAGAAAAGAAAAAACAACTTTAAAATACCTTTGCATTTTTCGGGTGGCAAAAAAATACCCATAAAAGCCAGGATATTTAATGTTACATTTTTCTTTTAAAGTTGGATGGAAAGTTAAGGTTAATGGCCCACAGCTATCTACAAACTCTCTTTTTGTGCTGTTTACAGGTAGAGTCATTGTAGAAAGTGAAGAGCAAGAGGGGAGGAAGGAAGGGGCTGATAATCACAGCTTAGGTATGAAATTGTGCATCCCTATCATGCAGGAGCATTTTTCCAATACTGTAATTAATCACGCTTCTGGTAGAGGGCATCACTTAAACTCTCCCAAGGGGTGTTTACTTCTGTATCCAGGACCATGGCTGGACCTTTGTTCCAAGGTAGTAGGATGTAAGTTTATAATCCAGTTGGTCAGCAGGGTGTAAAGATACATGAAAATTTCTTCAGAGGAAACCAGAGCCATGAAAATCGGTTAGTCGGGCCTACGCAAGCGAGAGTGACAGTCTTTTCAGGCATCCGTCTGAAAGGCAGTCACACACAGAGCCAACTTAAAGAAGAGACAGCTCTGTCTGAGTCTTGGACTCATGCCCAGACTTCTTTTCTTCTAACCCTAGAAATAAATATAAGTCCACAGTGCGTTTGAACCTGCTGGCCAGGTTGCTTTCATGATTCTGCCTCCACACGACTTGATTGCTGATCTCATCCCCAGGCAGAAAGTTCTCCATCTATGCCGACAGCATCAATTCAGTGCCATTCAGTTACATGAATCTGGGAAAGTGTACATAATTCAAGCCAGGGACAATGAACTAATTAGGGTTTTAGATTTTTTTTCCAGGTCCTAATGGCCTATCAACTGCAGCAGAGAGAAGAGTTTCTGTAGTTGCCTCATCTGAAAGAAACACTAGTTGCTGGCTTATTTAGGTCCCTTAATTATTTAATATCAAGAAAGAAAATTTCCTTGGGGGTTTTGCCATGAAAATGAGTTTAGCTTCCACATATTTTATAAAATTAGGGCAATCTGGATAAGGCTCCTTTTGTAAGGAGACAATTTCCCTGTTCAAAGTATGCACAAGTAGTAAAGGTCTTACCCGACAGTCCTGGTTTCCATGGCAACATAACATTGACATGAGCCACAGCAGACTCTGGTGGCAAGGCTGGCCACCTTAAGGGTTCCTGCTCTCTCCTGACAGACTGCAGCTGGCTAGGGACCAGAGAACATGGCCTTGGAACACCTTGGAGTGATCTTTCCCAGGACAAAGACTGGGAATCTTTCCTGCCTATCAGGTCAAATAAGGATGTAGTTTTAATTTGATAAATAAGAATTGTGACCTATTTTCCATCCCACACTGATGCAAAAGAGAATATGAGACAACAGAAAAAACTTCCGTATTTGGCTTCCTCATAAATTATAGAATCACTATGACAATAACTGATCAAAGTGATATTGTATTTTACTTGTATGTATAAACTAATAATAGTTTTTGTTATATCTTCATTTACTGTTAGGGGAATAAAGATAAGTTTGTATGACTTGAGTTTAAACAGTACTGTTCACAAACATCTCTAATTACAAAATCCATGGGGTAATAGTAAAAATTGTTTCCAGATAAGTGGATGTTGGAACACAAGGAAGAATTATAAGACAACTACTACAATATGAAGAGAGGACTGTGGTGACTTAACCAAGGCTTTACATGGTTGTACACAACACAGCATGTTGTGACAATTAATCAATTTCAGAGAGTGATCGGGTGAGAAGTAGAAATGGTTAACCAGAAATGGGATAGAACGAGAGGTAAGGAGGATAGGAAAATGATGGTAACATACTTTCTTCCAATGCAGCTTTGTGGTTAAAGATTACAAGTTTATTGAGAGAGATACTCTGAGGTAATTGCCCCTTCTTTCAATTCTTAAAAGTAACAGAAGCCCATGCATCTGCAATTTGTGTGTATGTGTGTGTGATGCGCACATGAGCATACACAGACCACAAATTACCAAAAGGAAAGAAAAGTAGAAAGCATATTCTACTTTTTAAAATTCAAAAGTATAATAAAAAGGAAAATAACACAATATCTATGAAAGATAAAACTAAGAATCCCTGGACAACGCCATGTGTTTGCACCACATGAATACCAGGCACTGTCCAAGACACACAGAATCTATCAGGTTGTTCCTTTCCTTCTGGAATGGACTAACTGGCTCTTTGTAAATTTTTTTTATTTTATTAGTACATTTGCAGTACATAATAGTTACATTCATTGTAGGGAGTTGGCACTTTCATATATCTCAATTCTTTTCCCATCCCATTCCCTTTTCCATCTTAAATGTATTCATCCATTTAAGTTTCTACTAACACCTACATGAAAATCTGTGTCATACATATGGGTCAGTTGGTCCTGGGTTGCTCCAATGATTATAAACAAGCTGTCTAATTGAATGTACACAGAAAAAAACCGTGCTTTTCCTCGAAGACCCTTCCACTGTGCTCTGGTGTCCCACACAAGCGGGTGATTTGTGGGGAACTTGGCAGGCATTGTTTTACAAAGCTGATGGCCAACACCAGCTGCTGCTGGAAAGAGAAAAAAGGGACCACTCCAGTGCATCCTACCACCCACTTGACCTGGTGAACCCAGAGAGAAGCAGTGTGCACAATTGCAGGTTCCTGTGGGGAGAGAGACTACCCTTGACTCTGATTTAAAGCCGTGTTGTTTAAGTCCTCAGTAGGAGGAGGGTGAGCTCTGTCATGTTTCTGATGACTTGTGCTACCTAGAAACCACTTCAGGTTCTGTTTTAGAGAAGAAAATGTACTGGGTACCTGGGAATGCCTCAAAGACCTTTAAGCAAACTGTGTGCAAAACGAATTGCTGGAAGAACTATGACCATATGCCTTTAAAATGCGGCCTCTGAAATGAAGAGACATAAAACAGCCGCCATACATTCAAGATTCCGCCTCCCCACTTAAAAAAGTCACCTATACTTCACCAGAAAAAAATTTTTATTAGTAACATGTCAAATATGTTTTAAAATACAGTTACCTTTCTTCTTCCTCTCAGTTTAAAAAACAATCCAATAAAATCTCTAACTCATGACCCAAATATTTTTAAATGTGAAAAAGACATATTTTAGATTATGTAACAGATACACATTTTCCCGAATAAATGTTGTAGAACACCATCTGCTTCATATTTAGTGCACTCCCACTGAACATTTCTGCTTCTCTTCCTTCATGAATGGTTTATGACAAATTTATGACACTGTATTTCACAATAGCTCTACCAAATATTTATGACAAAAAGAGAATGACAAAAAAATCACTTGGCATGCTCAAATTAGACAATGTATGCATCTTTCTCATTTATGCAGATCCTCCACCACTTACTGAGACCCCAACCACTGAGAAGGACTTGAAGTTCCCAATGGAGGGGGTGAGCATAGAACAGAGCTCAACAAAGAAGTCAAAACAAGAAGTGAAAGAACCTGGTGCCCATTTTTCAGCTCAGGTTGACCAAAATCTTCAGCACATGCAACCACCCATATTTCTGAATTTAATATAGCATAGTTTTGTAAGATTTTCTCAGGTTTGGCAAAGCAAGAGATTGTCAAATTCTTCTTAATTCTGAATGATTTTACCTTTGCTCTGATGTTCCAAGCTGGAGTCTTCCTTTCTAGGTATAATCAAGAGGAAAGTCAAGAAGGGAAATTCACTGTCATTTCCTCACTGAGAAAATGGCATATGACTGTGCCCATGTCTGTTTTCTGTACTTGATGTGGATAAAACTTAAGATAGAAATAATTTTGTAGGTATTTTACAGAGTATTATAATATTTGTGGTATATTTAGAAAACTGGTTGTATGGCTTTATAATATTTTTGCCTCCTGTTCCTTTAAAGGAAAGAATAATATGAAAAATTAATATGAACAAATTCTTTGAACAATTCTTTGAACATATGAGTGTAGGCTTGAGCATATATTTTCACTCTTAAATGATATAGAGACTGGTGATTCAAAGTGTTGTCACCAGAAGCTTTCACATCACCTGGGTTATTTGACAAATGAAGACTCTCAGGTCCTGTCCCCAATCCTTAAGAGAAATATATATTTTAACAAGATCTCTAATGAATTGTATGCAAGAAGATTTGAGAAGCACTAATGTAAAGGAATGTTCTCAATCCAGTCAACTATAGGGTAACCTTTGGGAAAAGATAAAATCACATTAATGGGATAATTTTGTCCTAAATATTCAACCAGGAACAACAACTTTTAGACATGATCCACTTTAGAAAGGAAAAAAAAACTTGACATCTGTCATGTTGCTGATGTACAGTAATGAAGCTTGAGAATAAGAATACGTAAATTAAATGACCTGGATTACATAAATATTCATGAAGTCCTTTAATTAATTATATACACTCTTCTATTGTTTCCAATGTAAGATATTTTCTTTAGCAATACATATACAACTATTACACTGAATTCTAGAAGCATGAACATTACCGCAGTAAACAATTACTTAATGACTGAGTACAATCAATTTTAAAAGAATTATGACCAGCCAATAATGATCTTATTACTGTGATGCATTCTAGTTTTATACATTCTAGAAACCCTTTCTCAAACTTTAGCCAGTACTGCCAACTGTTGATTTCCTCCAAGTATCTTTGAGCAAGATGGGATTGGTGCTAAGGGACAAGGTGGGGATGAAGGACTGCACCATAACTTCTACTTAGAGTGGACTCCAAAGAACAGAAATCAGGCCGTGATGCACAAAGAAAACAGAAGCAGGATGGCCCCGGTAGCTGGTGTTCAGAAATCCTGAGGTTCATTCAAGCAATTCTCCAGCACAAGGCAAAGGAAAGGAGGCTGCACTCTGACTTGGCACAGTCCACACACAGCTCTCAGGCTACGATTTGCTGATTCTGTTTCTCCTTAAGGCTTTCTTTGACACTCACATGAAGCCTGATTTCCCCGCTAAAAGAACACAAATGCCTGAAAGACGCAGGGAGAAGCGATGGTTCCCTACTTGCATTAATTACCCTGCCACCGGACAGGGACATCCCAGGAACAAAGCAGAGCCAGCTGTGCTTCCCCTTGCAACACTGGCTTTCTAGTATGCTCCTGACCATAAAATACACTGCAAAACATGGTAGCTTCCCACCGTCTGAGCTGGGTTCGTAGAACCTCTCTTGTCCTTGTTCACCTTCTCACCTATAAACACTTTTGGAGACACCTGTTTTATAACCATCCCAGTATGGGAAAGAGAAAGGCAGGTGTTACTCCCAAGAAAGGGCCCTTACCCTTTAAGACAAAACGGAGTTGTTTGAATTCTTCCTTTTATCAGTAGTAAACTGAGCAAAGGAATTGAATATCACTCGCTTCTGTATCTCCAGCCCTGGCAAAGCTCCAGCTCACAATTGCTGCTCAATAAGTGGTGGTGAACTGCACTAATGTCCAAGTCCTCTTGCACTGAATTTGTTAAATCTTGGGATGCACACTGAAAACAGGTAATGTACTTGCGCTTATCCGTTTACACACACTCCCACCATCTAGTCTCTCTCCCAACTTAATTATTTTCTATGCTCATCCACCCAGAAAGTTCAGTTATAGGTGTATTTTGTGTAATATCACATTTTAAATAATATCTATGCTGAATAGAATCTAGTCTTATGAATTGTTGTTGAATGAAAGAAAGTATCAATACACTGCAGGTAACAGGTATTTTGGTATGCAGTGAATGCAAGAAAGAAAAAGTGAATACAGCAAGCAAGCAACGCCCCTCAACATGAAACAACTTTTCTCTTTCACTTACTAATCTTGCTCCTTGTTTCTCTGGTCCGCCTGTCTTTTGTCGTTTTTTCTTCGTTTTTCCTCTTTTTCTTTTTTCATGTTTTTCTTACTTGCTAGGCTTTTAAGCTGGTTGGGTACTCAAAGGAGTGACAAAATTACCAAAGGAGTTGAGCAATATTACCAAAGGCACTCAGATTTCCCATGTGAGCTTCCTTACCCTACGTACGCCTTTTGCCCCAGAGAAAGGGTGCCCTGGTTCAAAATAACTGTAACTAGTTCTCTACCTTTCTCTTCTCTCATAAAGGGACATGTAGGAAGAGTCAGAAGAGCAAACCTTTATAGGGTCTCCTTGGGTATCAGCTGGCCATGGTAAAATGACAGTAACCTACTTGTAAACTCAGACAAGTTTGCAGAGTTTAAATACAATTTTTTAATCAAGCTAATATTCGTCAACTGCCCATCTATGAGTTGTTTATTGGAAAAAATTAACTGCCCTAAAATGTATTTTAAATAACTTGTTTTGAAATTAACACTTAAAAAAGAAAAACATTTCACAAAAATGGCTGTTTTCTAAGGGTTTTTTTCTACATATAAATGTATAGATCAGAGAGCTCAGTTAATGACATCTGGTAAAACTGGCTTTTAAATATGTTATTCATTCTTTGCTCAAGAGTTTTGCTCTAAGTTTTCTGATAAAATAAATACTATAATTTCCCACTTTCTTGATAATTTTCCTCTCCCTTCCTTTTCTGTTCCAAAGCATGTATATTTCTATCTTCAACCAATCTCAACATGAGGTTTTTAAAAGTTCTATCTATGAGCATAGGATTTTCCCTTAAAGACACTGTCCTAATCAAGCCTAAGTTCATTTCAGTCAAAATTTCAAATGTATCAGAGCGCTGATTCTATTTGTTAAATTATATCAGAGTATAACTATCCCATTAAATTTGGAGTCTTGGACTATTCCCGTTTTAAAATAAATCTAAATTTTTAAAAGAAGTGTTCTGAGAATTAAGGTCTTTTAAAAGCAATGAAATCAAATTTTAAACCTTGAAGCCAAATTTTTCCCTTAAATTAATTTTTAATTTTTATATCTCCATACTTCAAATTATCTCACTGTTCATACTAAACTGTCTTTAAAATTTTTACTTCAATCCTAACATTTCAATATCTTTTAAGTCATCTTTTCCTAATTTTGATTGAACAATTAAATAGAAGGCTGACACTATTATCAATTGTATGCATAGTCTTCAACGATGTGGGCTAACTAGGGTACCAACATTCTTTATACCAAATGCATCTGTGTTAATTATCTTGGTGATTCATGAGAAGATCCAAGTATTAAAACAAAATTCTCTTGACTAGAAAAAGACCATCTTGGTCATAAGTGGGTTTGTACTAGGAGAGATGCTATATTGACAAGTCACCATAACTATATTATACAGGAATATGATTACCAAAAGCTTGTAATATCTTCAGCTAAAGCAGTGTCCATGGTCATCATTATTGTGTATAAAATATTCCGAAAGCACATTGGTAAGCAAATTATTCTAAAATTTTTCACAACTCTATGACCTGTGCAACCTTTATGTTAGATTCTTATCTTCATCATCATAGTCTCCTTAACACTCATCTTTGAGTCTTTGGTATTCTCTTAAATACACCTTTGGCACCTAGTTTTTCCAATCTTTTATCAGTTAATGACAATTCTTTAAACAATATGCTCCATAGGACAAAAACTCCACACACTGAAATCAGACAACTCATTCAAATCTCAAAGAACATTATGAATCACTTCAAGCAATGTCACGAATATATCCAGCCTGTTAAATAATTATCTTTCAAACTGTAAAACATAAGGACTGATCTGACTTCACCACCAAGTGCATTCTAAAACATCTTGTCAAATAGTGAATGACCGACTATCATACAGAAATCAGTGCAAAATTACAGCCAGGCAGCCTTAAATGCACTCTCAGCTAAATGAAGAAATAACATCACGTAGAATTTCAGTTGCCCTTACTATTTTTTTCAGATGAGATTTTAAAAAAATTATCAACCCATTAAAAATATTTTTCCTGCCCACTCTTTTCCTGAGTGTCACAGCCTATTAAAATATAACATCATAAATAAAATTTAAACTCTTAAAAGCCCAGCACAAATTTTAATCCCTATAGAGATAAGCTCATCTGTAATGTTATTTCATTAAATTCTGTTTTTAAAAAAGAAAAAGTCTATTAAGACCAAAAAAACAAATGAACAAAAATAGTAAAATGGATCCGTTTGGAGGAATCCAGTTGTTACATTCAGCAGTTAAGTTGGAGTATATGCTTTCCCCCTTCCTGAATTGCCACTAATGGTAAAAGGAGAGCAGTATCTAACAGTTATTTGGCACAATGCTTCACAAGCCAAAGAAATTCAGAAAGCATCGACCCTCCTTCTCATCATTCAGAGAACATTAAATAATTCTACCCTTAATCCTCAGGGACATCTTATCAAGTTAATATGTTGCTTTTTGTTACTTGTCACTATGAGTGGCAAAATTTGGAAATGGGGCTTAAAAATTACAAACCTTATCTTTAAAAAAATCTTTTTGCTTCTAATGCACAAAGTCACTGATAAGTGGACATATCTGGAATTCAATTTGATCATAGTAAGGACTGCTGAGTAATAACCATGGTTCTCTCCGATCAGTTCAGCATGCATCTCATCTTTGATATCAAGTGCACCGGTAATTGGTGCCTTATATGAACATCTTCACTAAAACAATTCAGGCATTTAGAAACAAAGTATCAGTGGACATAACAGTTACTTTAATTCATTTTATAAATAAGCAACTGAGAATTTTGCTCCAAGTGGCTACTAGTGTAGCCCATTCCATAAATGGCATTCTCCGAAGCATAAGGCACAATATGATATGAATGCAGCTCCTCATAATAGAGAGACTGAGAACAGCATTCCTGTACCATAAACTTCAGCCGTTTTCTTGTATCAGAATAAGCAGTCTTATAACAGGGAGCTTCTTTAAAGTATTCATAGCTCTCTTTCTCCGTCTCTAGATGTATCTTCCTCAGCAAATTGTTAATTAACACAGACCTTCTTAAGTAGGTTTCTGGGTCTTCTAGAAACCTGAGCTTCTCCAGAGAAAGTTTCAGAATGCAAGTTCTGTCTTCAGGTAATATCAGGTGCTGGAAAGCAAACACAGTCATTCAATTTACATTTACAACTTACTATTGACAACATTGACAAAAATGAAAATATAATGCACAAATCCTTACTTTTGGAAAATACCCATGGTAATCCTGATGTAAATCTTCTTCTTCTGCATATTTTCTCTTAAAGTAAGCTACTTTCGACGTTGTTAATGAATATGTTAATACTTTTGTTGGATAAGCTGAACAAAGAAAATGGAGAAAAATCAGATTTTATTGTAGCAAAGAGTATTTTATTATATAAGCTCTACTTGTAGAAAGAAATTGGCTGCCACAGAAATTCCTCTCATCTCCTCACTAAACAATGTGGTAAAGTAGTCAGTGGCGATTGTTCTATGATTTAAAAGCGTAGCAGGAGGACAATGCCACCATTCAGACCCAAAATAGAGGGTCTAGGTTGAAAATCTTCTGTGACCTCTCAGAAATCAACCATTAATACTCTCTTTAATCTCATGCCTTCTCATGTCAAAACACAACCAAATTTGAAATTGATGCACAAAAGGTAAGAGGAGGAGGTAGGTAACAGTTCATCATTTTCTTAAACAGCCCAGAACACAGAGTTGCTGAGTTAATCAAATTGACATGAAATAGTAGCCCACTAACACTTTAAAGAAATCACTATGACTATAGACAAATGCTATGCTTGTTTATGATGTAAAGGAGGTAATATTAAATAAGTGAAAAAGATTTAGGTCATGCTCAGACTAGCAAACTTGATATTGGTATAATATATGAAAGTAAAGATCTTTGTTTTCTCTTCTAAAATACTATTGCTATTGAGGATTCTGACTTGTTTAAGGAAGGACAGATTTAGAATTTTAAAAGATTTCCAGAAGACAGGATTTGGTACGAAGAGAATTCCTAAAGTAAGCTGTAGATGGCGCTCATACCACAGAAAGTAGACAAGATCAATCTTCTAAAGACAAGTAGCTTCCTATTCAAAGCAATGAATGAATTTTGAAAGTAAAATGAGTCCACTTCAGTACTCATTCCACCTCAGGGGGCCAGACCACAAATAAAAATAAAATATAATTTATTATACCCTTAATCCATACCCCCAAATATTTCTGTATCAGGACCATTTAATGCACAAGGTGACTGAGTAGTTTATTACCATGCTGGTTAACTTTACAGTAAGATATTTTTGCCTTTCTTCCCAAATCTCAAAATTTTAAAGGCTTAAGTATTAAAAATATACTCTTCAAGAACCAATCTTTTCTAGTATTTCCTCTGACTTGGAAGCATTTGTACAAAGCTTCCTGCAGCTTTTTTAGTAGCTGGATGGTTTTGTTAAACCAGTAAGGAATGCTACAAAACCACACCTCAAGCATTCCAAATTCTCACTGCACCACTGTGGATTATAAATCCCCAACAGCCTTCAGTTAGATTTGGTATGTTTTGTTAAGGGGATCAATTAAATCCCTTGTTTGTCTGACTTAAAAGAGACGGATATGTAGTAACTTATATCTGAAGCAAAGATAATAGTTGTTACTATGTATATACAATCCCTGAATTTAATAAACAAAACTCAGTTTATGTATATTTTTCATTGACCTCAGAAGGTTAGGAAAAAAGGCACACAAATTTGAATATAGGAAACAAAGAAAGCATTACTAAACCTGTTTTTCTCATGGACTTTTTTAGTTTTGTTTTTGGGGTGTGTGTGTATGTGTGTGTGTGTGTGTGTGTGTGTGTGTGTGTGCTTTGCCAATTGTGTTATCTTGTTAGGGGTATTTTTAGGGGATTTAATCAAATAACTAACAATTAGTTGACAGTGCTTCAGCTTATCCCTTGTGATAATCACTTATGCTTCTTTCTAAACTAATTAGTTGCTACAATAGTGGTTCTCAAAAGATAGGGAGCATCAGAATCACCTGTATGCTCCTTAAAACAAATACCTAGCCCTACACTGAGTTTCTATAGTTTGGGGTGGAGAACTTGTATTTCTAACAGAGTATCAGATGATGCCCATGCTGCTGGCCTGGAAGCCGAATTTTGAGAACCACCGTATTACAGCATTAGGAATATTAGGGTATGGAGCAGCAGCACCACCCAAGCAAGCTGGAATTAGCCAGTCAACTGATTACCTTAGCACCAGACTGCCCAGCAATTGGCCTGAAGGTCTTCTGTTGATAGGGTTGCTTCCATATGTCAAGTTAGACGCTTTAGAATCATAAAGCCAGGCTACATTTTAACTGAACAGTGAAAATGTTTCAGCAGGAATTCCTGGGCTTACATTAAGAAGTAGCATGGCTGTTATTCACCTTATAGCTAGACAGGTCATTGTTTTTTTTTTTTAAAGCAAGATCCAAATTACTATATTGAAGGCAAAAATGAGTAAAGATTTGGAAATGAGAAGGGTAAATTTACCATAAGCAAATAGTGTATGTATACATTTTGTTTTGTTTTGGGATTTTTTTGGTACAGGGGATCAAACTCTTGTCCTTGTGCTTGCACAGCAGGTGGCACAACCACTGAGCTAAATCCCAGGCCCTGTATGTATATATTAGGGTCTGCACATTTTATCTTCCTAAGTGATGCAATGCCTACAACATTTATGAACAACTACAAAGTTTTTAATGAAAAATACCAAGGAGGGTAGGCTGTAGCTTGGAGAACCAATGTCAAATCGATTTATTGTTCTGGCTCCCTAATGAACCTCCAAGGAAGATATTTTGATTTAAAAAATCAAGACCAAAAAAAGTTAAATGATCCCAAAGTTTATAAAGATTCTGCCTCACTGTATTCAAGCAGTTAGTCTACGATATAGAATGCGTCTGACCTTGAAAAGAGAGTAAGTTCTCAGGAGGACCAGATTTGAGGCTCAACTCTTGCATGGGCCACACACTTAGCCACTCAGTTTATTGCTCTTAGAAAAAGAACACACCCACGGCTTTGGAAAGGCTAAAAAGCTTTCAGGGCTGCATCAGTCTGGCAGCTACCTCCTTGGGGCTGTTCAGCTATTTGCAATGTTTTCCACATCAAATTTTGGAGGATGGTTTTAGTCACTTTCATACTGAAATATATAGAAAACATAAGTTCCTGAATCTGTTTTCTTGCTGGATTAGAACCCCAAAACTTCAGAGCTAGAAACTATCTAGTGATCATCCGGTCCGGCCTCTTCAGTGTACAGATTAGGAAACTGCGACCTCCAGGAACCCAGTGGCCGATAGTCTGGAGTGTAGCTAAGAGTTTGGGCTTTGAAGTGGTGGAATAGCTTTGAATTTCAGCTCTGCCACTTCTTAGTTGGGTAGCCTTGAACAGATTATATGAGCTCTACACAAATGTCATTTGTAAAGTAGGGATAGAAATATACCGGCTCATGAGTCCCTGATGCCTGGCACTGTGCCAGCACATACTAACCATTCAGTCACACTGTAGCCTTTATTAGGGTCAATAGGTGTAGATCTACTACAGAAGCACAGCCCCCCCTGGCCTTGTTGCTCTCACTTGAAGACTCTTTCTTCCACCTTGCCTCCCTGGGAGGTTAGATGATAATTTGTTAAAGGACTGTAAGAAGATATTTCAAATGGCCAACTTGAAAAATATAGTATAGATTCTATAACAGTTCCAAGAAAATGTTTCTGGGTTTTCACCAGCGGTATTGCATTTTGGTGAAGGAAATGCAAAATTGTGTTTGGAATATCCAGATAATCATCTGGATAAAGTTAATCTGAATATCTAAAGAAGTTCACTTGTTATGATCCAGGAAACAGACACAAATATGTTTATCATTTTCCTGCAACTAAAAAGCCAGCCTTAATTTTGTCTGTTATTATTTAAATAAAACTGAAAAAGCAGATAAGAAATAAAATAACTGTATGTCTTTATATTTAGTGGTTTGAGCTCTGAGAACAGTATATAAGTTATAAAACTGAATTAAATTGAGCCTAAATTTATCTCTGAAGATGAAATGGCTAATACTGACTTGAATATTGAAATAGTTTTTAATGTTGCAGTCTCTGGGACACAACATATCTACTCCAAGTTCAGTACATTTCACAGTGTAAAACTTCAATGAGCAACAGATTGAAAGTCACAAATCAGAATGACTGTCCCTCTCATTAGAGCTCTGGCAGTACAACTTATACATATTTCTTTAAATAATGTTTAAAATTTAATTACGAATGATTGCTCAAATGCCCTTCCTTATTGTTCTGCTTCTGCCTCCAGACAACTAAAATCCTATTATTGTACAAGTGATTTCATTTGGTGCTCGGCCCAGGGACAGTACATTAAGGAAACATCATCAGCAAATTAATTTATAAACACGTTGAGAGAACAGATGGCAGGAAGAGACCAACCTCTGTCGTATAATCCATTCTTTGTCCCACACTGAAAAACCCAAGAGATAGGAGAAGAAGCGAGGTGTTTAAGATATCTTAATTTTAGTAGGATTTTCATTTTCTCTCCAACATGTTAATCAACACATTGCAAAAGCAGAGTTGAAACCATTCTTTGAGGTGTGTGCTCTCTAACCACAGACAGAAGGGCAGGAGGCTGAGCAGCAGGGAGCAATAAAATGGATTCTACCTCAGATCAATGTCCAACTTAGGTGGCACCCAAATCATACACGTTCACTTCACAATTTCTTACTGATTTTGCTTTTGATGATGTTAGCCTGATATAACCCTTTAAAAGTATAAGTGTCCCTACCTATTCAAATAATGTTTTGCAGGTGGAAAAGTATCAAACATCCTTCCCAAGGACCATGACCACGTTTGTTTAGAGTTATCTCATCTGTCACTGTTAGCCCCATTCTACAGCCTTGCTGCATGGTTTTAAATACTTTACCATAAACACTTTGAAAAAACAAATACCAGTAAGACACCAGCCCCTGTCATAGTAATCCATTCTTGTCCTACACGGAAAAGCCCAGCCCTACAATTTATTTGCTTAGTGTCTTTGGGCAAGATATTTAACCTCAAAGAGCCTGAGTTTTCTCATATATTAAACAGGGGAAGAATATCAAACTCATTGAGTTCCATGTGAATTAGATGAGATGATATTTAAAAAGCATTTCCTCTCTGCCTATCACATAGGCTCATATTTTCTGCTCAATAAATGTTACATATTATAATCACAGTGACCTCAATTCTGAAATCATAAATACATATCCTACTCAATAGCATTATGTAATATATAGAGATTAGTCCTCTCTTTAGTGTGAAGCACAGGGTACATAAAACATTCATGAGTGTGTTCACAAAGGTACATGGGTACAAAGTTCAAGGCTGTTATGTCATGGCTTCCGTAGAACTTTAGCTTTGTTGATATTTGACAATACTCCATCCACTATCTTTCTTCTCTCATAACCCATTGCCTAAACCTTTCTGCATGATATGTTCCATGGTAGCTTAACTCAATGTCAATTGTAAGTTCCAAATCAATGGAGCAATGTTTCTTCAGATTTATCATACTAGGCACAATATTGAGTTTACTGACAGTTCAGAATAATGAACAAGTTGCAATAAAGATCATAGAAGACTTTCTTAGGAACTTCCTGAGACTTCCAGTGAGTTACGACAGCTTTACAAGATACCAGCAGCACTGTCTGGTACTAGATCCCGTGACCCTTTCTGTGACCCCAAGCAAAGGCATAGAATATTATATAGAACATCAGAAGTTCTGCAAGCCCATCTTGCTCCACTGGGAATATCTCTGACCAAAGAGAACATCATTAAATGAGGTATGATGGATCAGCTAGGCAATCATAACATTACCTAAGATGCTGCACCAAAGCCAACTGATTCAATAAAGTAGTTCTACTAACGACAGAGGCCAAAGGCATTATGCTTTTCGGTAGACCCTCCAAAAGTAGATTCCATGTTTTGCAGGATGAGGCTTCCTTTGACTCAAAAGAAAAATTGGCCAACCAGCCCTATTGCTGGATATGCCATCCAAGTACTATCTCACCAATAATACTCGGAGAGATGTTATAACATCCTTATGTACCCCTAAGGGGTGCTCAGAGAGAAGAATTTTAACCCCCGACCTATAGATGACAGCAGCCTTTTGGAAAGTGCCTGATCTAATCACCCACATCACCTTTCATTTTTCATCACCACCACCCCATGTTTGAGTGTATTAATAAAAACATCTATCTGGGCTAAAGTTGCTTCTAGTATCCCAAAAGTGTTGTAAAGAAACGCAAAATGGGACCAAAGATTTAATTTACACATTAAGCATATGTAAGAATTTACTCTGGAGTTTTTCATATTTTTCTCTGCCTTCACTCATACAATGCCTGACTTCTGTTCTCACTAGGAGTGGCTCTAGAAGTAGAGTGATCTTCACTCACAGGAGGCCTTTCTCCTAAAACAGTATAGGTTTTCATTAAACTGCATTGTGCTCAATGATACAAACAGCCCGCTGTGGCGCGTGTGTCATAGGCTGGCACCTCTGAGTGCTAGGCTCTGGAGTCTTGACTCTCTTTGCAGGATCTCTAGCTTTTCTTGATCTCCCTAATGAAGGGTCCTGTTGATAAGCATTTCACAACTAACACATACTCCTGCAGAGCTCCCAACTTCAAACTTGTCCTTTCTCTGTATCAAGGCTCAACTGACAGAAGACCTAAGTACCTCTGCTATTAAGAATATTTTGTGCTTTTTACTGTCTATAATTTGTAATGTATAAATGCATTTTTTGCTTTCTAAATACATGTCTCTATTAAAATACTGAACTCAACAATAGTAAACTTCTACTGCTTTTCAACACTATCTTCCCTTGCACCTACATTGAGAATTGTTGAAATACATGGTATGGCTCTTTATTGGCCCATGTGTATAACTTTAAGTAGGAAAAAAATAAAAATAATTGTGTTGGACTACATTGGGGAAAACATTAATGCACTGAAACTAGATAGAGAGATTTTTTTTTAAATAAAGGAATTGACAAGGAATGGCTCCTCCCAAAGACCAAAGCCCAGAATCTTCCCTAGCTTTGGTGCTGAGTGGTCTGGGTCAGTTCACTTCTGCCTCTGCTTCTAAGAGTGACTTCATTTCAGCTCTCCCTGGGTTTCTGAGCATACTGCTTTGACAAACAGAGCAATCTGAAGTGGTTAAGCTTTGCCTTTAGAGCATAGCTGGGGTGTCAGTGTTTTGACTGCCTTCGCCAGCTGGCATGAGTCATGGGTAAAGAGCCCAGGTGCAGAGGCAAAGCCCTCAGCCCCTTAATAGAAATTTCAATGTGTTTCAAGGCATCTTCTTATTCTTATGAAGGTTTCATGCCATAAAATTGAATATGATTATTCATATACACCTAAAAACTGTCAAAGAGAGTGAGCAAAGAGAAAAGAAGACCAAAATTAAGTCTGGTTTCAGTTTTAACATGTTTGATCACAGCGTTAACTAAGCTTTATATCTCCAAGCCCATGGCCCTTTTATCACCAATGATGTCTGCACGTATAACTGGCACTGGCACTGACTGGGTCCTTAAATACAAATTGATGACACTGGGGGATTCGTTCTAACTGTAGATTCACCAAGGACTCTAGGATTAAATGTTTATGTTATAATGATACTAGTTGATTTATTTTTACTTATTGAAAACTTAATACTATAACACTTTTGATGAATGACTTCAAGCAGATCTGTCATCAAAATTACACAGTATAAGCTCTACATTTTACATATTCATGAGAGAACCAGAACTAAAATTTAAGAAAGAACCTCTTTTATTTGACCTTTTCTGATTGTAACAGTACTCTCAATGAAAGAGCAGCCAAGTTCACATAAATTAAAGGACACTGAATGATTTTAAGGTTCTTTGCATATTACATAAGAGGTGGGATGCATATAGATCACTAATGCACAAGACTAATGCATAAACATGAACCAATAATCTTGGCTGCTTTACTCAAACTTTCCTAAGATTGATGGCATGAATAGAACTGCATACATGACAATACATCTTATTGATCTTAGACTTGTTTCTTACCATAAAATATAGTAATTATGATTGAAGAAGGAAGAAAAGAGGGTGGTACTAAAGGCTAATGAATTCAACATTATTTGGTGATTCAAATTATTATTTTAATGCTTAATAGTATTAAACTATAGATATTTCAATAAGTGAGAACATAAATCCATAATTTCAGACTCTTATGATATTTATAAATCTACACCCTGAGACCAGAATATATTTTCTCATAGGTTTCTGAATAAAGATGTTCAATTCTATATTTTTATAAAATCAGGTAAGGAGCAGGCAAGAATCTAGCCTGGTTTGTTTTTATGAATTTGCGTGTGGTTTGTTTTTATGAATTTGCGTGTAGTTTGTTCGGCTCTGCACCTATAGGACGTACACATGGAGAAAGAACTCGGTACATGTAAAAGTTACACAGGGCTGGAGAGCCAAACGCTCATTTCAAACGTGTTCATCTTAAAAACTGAATTTACAGTGCTAACATGCAAAGATTTTTATCATCAGGATCTTAATGCAAATTAAATTTAAAACATCACCGCGACCTCTTTTTGCAACTTGGAGAGTTCTCATTTCCTCCATCCAGACCTGCACGACAGTGCTCAGAGTTCTCAGCTGACATATTCCCGGAGTCAGGCTATTTCTAATTTGGCCCCCCCTGTTCACCTGGATTTAAGAGAGGAAAATCTGCCAGCCCACAAATATCCTTTTTACAGAAAACCTCTATTGACTTCTACCCAGCAACCATCTATATAAACAACTCTTCCTATTGATCTTGTCAGTTATGGTAATGCTACATTAGCATTTATTTCTCTGGATACATAAAGAGTTATTATTTCTGAACTAGTGATTACCTGGTAATGCTGACTCAGTCTGAGAAATGTATTTCTGGGACAGCTTCAGAAAATCTGGTGAGAGTTCTCCTTTGCACAGCAAGCATTTCTCACAGCCTCAGGCTCATGAATGGTTACCTGAGATCTTGAAACAAGGAGACAGACACAAATAACACAGGACCAGTCAAGTCTGCATTCACAAGTCAGGAAAAAGCATGTGTTGGAAGACATATCTAGGATGCTGTGGGTAGGGTTATCCTGGACTAGACAAATCTTCAGATGCACACAGTCACTTAATGTTCTCCAGATTTAAGTTTAAACAGGAAGAATCTTAACTATCTTAAAAAACTGGGAAATGGCTGGATAACTGATCTCAACAGTTATTTACTTATGAGGTTATTTTTGCAAAATTATCAGTAGATTGATTTTTAAAACCAGAGTAAGATATCTTTTGTTTGATTTGAAATACCAGGTTCTGTATAATTTCAGAAGTATTCCCTTTAAAGTAACAAAGCAGCAATTAACTCAAAACACAGCAACTCTGTCTTTCTCTGCAATATGTACTATTTCTCACGAGATTTGAAATAGCTCAATGCTACTTCTTTTTTAAAAACAGCTTTTATTTTTCTTTAAAGGGCCATGTTTAATTGCACCTTTTCTACATGGATGTATGCTTAGAGATCTCATCATCTTCTATATTTAGAGAGATGAGCTTTCCAAAGGAAGACAGGCAGCCAATAAGGAGGATCCCATCCAAAGAGGTGAGTTACTATGGTTACTTTTCAGGCGGCTGAGTAGCAGGGAACGGCTGCTCCTGGCCAAATGGACCCTGTCCAGAGGAGGACCTAAAAAGAGCGATGCTCTCCAGAAGTGTTGATTCAATTAGTGGAGACTCTACTACCCTATTTTAGCCCTAACTACAGGCTTCCTATAGGCGCTCTCTGCTTCCTGCTCGCCTTGCCCCACAGAGGCAGTGAAGTCAAAGGAAAAGCAAGGAGGACTGAAAACTTCTGAACACTAACCTAATAATGATGAACAGGCCAGTCCTCCAGAACCAATCCCAAGGTTGTAAAAAACAAATCATGTTATCTAACACTAACTGCTGGCCAGTTTGCAATGGCTGGGCATGGGGTGGGAGCCTGGAACACGTCCTAGCCTCCTCTTTAGAGAAAGGAGTCTTCCCTGAACCTCGGAGGAAGGTCCCCGGCTGGAGAGTCCTGTCCTCCCCGAGAGCTGGGGCCACTCACCGGGCGATCGATCGCTCGTGCGTGCACCTGTTTGGTAGAGGCGCGGGGCTCGCTGCTTCTCCGGCTTCGCCGGCTCTGCGGCTCTTTAGAGGGCGCTGACAGCGACAGCAAAGGCGGAGGCGACTGCAGCCCGCGGGCAGCCCTGGCTCCTGCAGGTCTGTCCCTCCGCTCTCCGAGCGCCGCTCACTCTGGGTTCAGAACGCGAGGCGGGCGAGCAGCTCCGCTCTCGCATTGGCCCAGAGGGAGCAGATGTTACCGGTTGCTAGGAGCGTTGCTAGGAGGCGATGACGCCCCTCCAAGGCTCCAGCTCGGGAGCAACTTTCCTGTAGGTCGGTGCGCTGCTGGCGGGGGCTGCTGAGAGCAAGGTTGAGAGCTGGAACCAGGAGGGGCCGCGAATAAAGAGTCTGGAGCAGAGGGGTCCCGGCCTCGCCCGCCCAAATTGGGTCCAGGAATCGGCTGGACGTGGGTGAGAGCCACGGGCCTGCATGGAAGGGCGGGCTTTGGCAGGGGGTCCCCTACGAGGCTGGCTGTTGGGGGCCACGGTGGGACAGCACTTTCCGAGGCTGAGGGCGCGGCCGGATTTTGTCCGAGCCTGCTAGACCTCCATACCCCGCGGGGATGCCGCTCGGGGAGGGCAGAGACCGGAAGTGCAGTCTGTGACCTGGGCGGCACGAGCAGTATGGGACCCTCCCTCCGCTGCTCCTGCTTGTGTTGAGATGGATTTTGAAGAGGGAAATACTGACTAATCCATGAAAATCCTCTCCCAGTCTAACTCCTTTCGAAACTGCCTGTGGCTGCCTGCTGGTACAGTGCCAACGATTTCAGAAAAATAAAAATAAAAGATGTTCCTGTCGTCTAAATGCTTTCTTCACACAGTTCGAAAGACTTCATTTTGATCCAAGAGCGAAATAAAACATCAGGCTAATATGAAATCTTTAAAATAAAAATACACAAAATCAAAGGTACTTTTCAGAAAGGAAACTGGAGAAAGTATGCGTGTTTCAGGCATTTAGACTTTCGTGTCAATTTACCCAAAGGTGTGTGATCTCACTCAAGCTTTGTTTCTACTTTTCACCATTGCTTCTCCTTGTTATTGTTCTTGAATAGGGGCTGTTTTACTGGTGGAGGGAGATGCTTACAGCAGCAAAGTGGACACATTTAGGTACCCAGTGACCAAGTTAAAGAAGGGAAGAAAGATAAAACACCTAGTAGAGAAATTTTGCTCAAAGCTCTCCTCAGAGGGAGAATGTCACTGAAGGAGGTATGCCATTATCCGGGTCCCGGCCTACAGAGTCAAGTCAGGCCTGGAAGGAAGGCACCCACTGGAAATAAAGTAAAAGGGGAAGTTGTTGTCTTCGGAGCCCAGGAAGGGCCTGCATGAAGAGTTACGTTGACGCCTGTGTGACGGAGACCTCCTGTGAGGGTAAAGGGCTACAGGAAATGCCACACAAGTCTCAGAGTGTGCCTAGTTTAGTTTTCTAGCCCTGAGGGTTAGAACGCTAATCTTTTGTAAATGCGAAGGGGACCCAGAGGTGGAGGGAAGGGAAGGGAGAAGGGAAGGGGGGTAAAAAGAATTAAAATGTGTTATGTACAAGTCCCAGTTCCCCACTATGAAAGTGATCGTTATGTACTGCAAACATGTACAAATAACTTTTTAAAAATTTTAACAAGCTGATAAGCTAAAATGGAGCTAAGAAAATATCAGCGAGCCACTGTAGGTGAAGACCTGATGATTAAGCTTCAGTGATCCAGTCTGAACTGGGCTTTGAGAACAGTACTCTCATATCCAGGAGATGTTACAGCCTGCAGTATACCACGGTGACTTCTGTCTTACCTGCAGTGAGGGACAGAAGAAGTGGCTGTCTCAGGCAGCTCTGCAACTGTGGGGCGCATCTCCACACTGCCCCTCTTACCCTTCTAGGTCCACTCACACAGCACTCGGCTCAGTTTTCCTGAATGGAGAAGGCTCTCTTTTGTTCTGCAGGGATTTTATACATGTTGTTTCTTCCTTAATGTGCCTCCGTCTCACCTGGCTCCCGCCTACTCAGCTTTCAAGTCTCAGTTTAAATGCCATTTCCTCCTAGCGGCTTCCCCTGACAACCTCCCACCAACTACATTAGTCCCCTAATTACATTCCCAAGTCATACTACCGATCCCATTTCACAATATTCCTCACTCAGGACTCTAAGCTAGCTCTACCCGGTTCATGGTGTGTCTGCTCAGTGAGTAGCATACGGTGCTGATCCAGCAAAGGTAACCAAGAGCAAGTGGCAACAGGCAGATGCAGCCTGCCTGGCTCAGCATCCCCACGTTCACCTTAGCTATGTAGCTGACAGTTGTGATTGTGCACAAACCGTGAGTCACCACTAGCTACTGTCTTTTTAGCTGTACAAGTACAAGGGGGAGGAAAGGAAGCTCATTATACAGAAAATAGTTTTCTACCATTAATGAGGCATTGTATTTATACAACAACTTCTTTTCCTTTTCAGAGCAGCTTTTGAAGGTCACTATCTTAGTTTTAATAGCATTGGGAAATACTCAACCACAGTCATTTAAATTTTTTATCTTTCTTTAAAAAGCAGCCTCAATATTCACATGTTTTATTTCTATAGACCAAGAACAAACAAATAAATCCATTTGGGGAGCAGCTAGCTGATTTGACCAATATGAGCAGGACTTCTAGTATTCTACTTTTTCTGAATAGAATGGGAAACCTTTTCTGCTTTCAGTCTAAATCACTGAATGATTGTCAAATCCCCTTTCATCTGGGACTACTTCTAAAAATTTAGTAGACACTGGAAGACATAAAGGAAATGTAAAGTTAATCTCAAAATTTTAGAATGGATATATGGCAAAACTGGAAACAGAACAAAGATATGAGTTTAATCTTTACTTTAATCTTTACTGCATCTATTGTCTGTAGATATGTTTTATAAGTTCCCCAGTTCTATTAGGTGATTAGAACAAATCTTGTACTTTAAATTAAATGTTTAAAAAGCACACCCATTACATTAGAATATGTCCAAATTGTAATCTCACCACTGAATCCTGTCCCTCCTTGTAATGACCACAGATGTAATGCTCATCTTGTCTCTTACTAACTGCTGAAAGAATGAGTTATTTTATTATGTAGTAGATTGCACATTAACACTCCTCAGAGCTCTGAAATGTCTCTCAAGCTTCCCCTTGAGGCATATTTCTGAATCTCCCTGTTTCCTCAGAGAAACCATGAGGATATTATGAAGCTTACAAGATATATAATGCGATTTTATTGGTCAATAAAATTCTATTCAAATGGGTATGAAATTTTAAAACTACCATGTAGGCCAAAAAAATAAAAAAGAACAAAAGAACCAAAGTCATAGATGATTGTCTCCATTATTTTATCAATTAAGGCTGGCTAAGCCTTTGTTGAAGTGCTATCAGAGGATAGCAATGTTTTGTCAGTGATTGCTCTGAAATTAATAGACTGAAAAATCTATTCCTCTACATTATTCTTCTTTTAGTCATTTTTTATATTATTTGCTTTGGTGTTTTTACTATGCCATATACATATTTATTAGTACACATACATGGATCTACATGAATTGAAATGATTCACCTTGCACATCTTACCAGCTCAGAATGCTTCGTCCTGTGGCTTTGGAAATGTGGTCTATATTTTCAACAGTGACCCTTTGGTGTTGAAATGCTTTCAATTTAACATGATTATTGGTAAGCAAGTAGAACTCATTAACCATCCTATAATGTTGTCACACCACCATGCATTAAGAAGAACTTAATAAATTAGTTTTCCATTAGTAAGCTTTCTTTAAGTAATCACTGATGCCACAGCATTGGAAATAAGATAATTTTTAAAAGAGAATAAAGTAAAAGAAGTGTACCAGATACTGACTACAGGATTCATACCAATACTGTCATTTTCTGGGGCACGTGAGTCTTCTTAAATATAGATGAAGCTGTATGACTAATTCTGGCTAATGAAGTTTAGGCAAAAGTGAAGATCACTCCATTTGAGCATGAGCCCTCATGTCAATCATTTCATTTTCATGTCTTTTTTGTTCTCCCCAGTGTGCATGGCAATATATTCCTTCAGAGCCTAGAAGGACTTCAAGGTGACCAAGTCCCAAAAGGAGCCTGCATCCCTAAGATTCTGCTAGAAAGAAAGCTACCTTGGGCAAAACCAGAAGCATTAATGGAGTAGAAAACTCTGTCATGCAACTGCACTGACTTTTAGGGTTGTTGATAACAACAGGTATCATTCATTGCCCCAGCTTGCACAATATATACAAATGGTTTTTTAAAAAGTGTCCCTGAAACACCAATACAATTTTTTTCCGCATATTTCCTCTTGCTTGGGGGATGTCAGCCATGTTTGCACCGCTCTGGAGATTTTGGATGAAATAGGCTGGCTCCCTCTGGTTTGAGCTTCCTGTATCTGAATCTTACAGATTTATTAAAGGGGGAAGAGGTCTGGACCAGAGCTTCTCTGATGAGAAATTACCTACACTTTGTACATGGTCACGTACACTCTGCCTTCTCAGAATCCTCTTCAGATCTAATTTAGTTAATTCAGCTATCTTTATATAGCTCCTTACTTACCTGATATTATTTTAAATTCAATACTTTAAACAAGCACCTGAGGTAATAAATGTTGATTTGTATAGGTGTTTACTACGAAAGTCCATAGCACCCTGAAACTAAGTCAAGTATATGGATTATAAATGTAGAGCTTATAGTTCTAATATATATGTCTGCAGTTGGTATTTGAAGTTAATGGTTTTTGTGTATACTAAAATAAGCAATATCATTCGAGCTCATAAAATTTGCATGTTGATGCTGTGAAACTGTCTTTTTTAACATAAAAAATTTCACACATGTACATATAAGCCATCTGCTAAAACTTTATTGATAAAACCAGTAGCGACAGTTTTACAAAATTGGAATGATTTTCAGTTTTGAACAATCGTGAATTCAGTTGCAGCAGACATTTTGTACAAACTGGAGCTAGTACTTCTTTTCTGTTTTGGTTTTAAACAAAAAGAAATTAGAATTTATCCTCATGCAGTTAAATATCTAATACAGAAATAGTTTTTAGAGTGCATAAAATAGGCTTTTCAACATCACTGCGAGACTGAACATCTGCCTTAAACATTATTTGTACAGGAAAAACAGTGTAATTCTTCTAATCATGAATTTAGTTTCTATCACAGGTAAACAATTTTATATTTTCCAACATATTTTCAAAGG